GGCATGGCATTTTATCTAGGTGACAGCTTGGTCACTTGGACATCACAGAAGCAGAAGACGGTGGCATTATCATCCTGCGAGGCAGAATTTATGGCGGCAACTGCAGCAGCGTGCCAAGGTTTGTGGTTGAGGAGTTTAATCAGCGAGGTGATTGGGAGTGAGCCCAAGCCGGTTACACTCTTCGTTGACAACAAATCCGCGATTGCCTTGATGAAGAATCCAGTTTTCCATGGAAGAAGCAAGCATATCGACACACGTTTTCACTTCATTCGTGAGTGTGTTGAGCGAGGACAGATTAAAGTGGAGTTCGTGAGCACAAGCGAGCAGCGAGCGGATATTCTCACGAAGGCACTAGCAAGGGTGAAGTTCATCGAGATGCGGGAGCTTCTAGGAGTAAGGGACTTGGAATCTCGTCCAGATTAAGGGGGAGAATGTGAGTTGTAAACCCCTCTGTCGACCCAGCCCCAGTCCACCCTACAGCCGCGCTCCACCAGCTGAAACCCCGACCCGCCTGACCGCCGTCAACCCACCGCTGAGCTCCGACGAACCCCAGGCCTGAGCTCCTCCCCTCCTCCCCAAGCCGTCGCCTGACCTCGCTCCCACTGCACCGCCAGACCCCCTCCCGCTGTGAGTTGTAATCAGTCCAAGGATTGTTAGTTAGTAGAATTCTAATTAGAGTAGAATACTAGTTAGTAGATAGTTTTTCTAGTTATTGGATAAGATTAGAGTTGTAATCTTAATCCTATATATATGTAAATCATATTGATGAGTTTAATAAGAAAAAAATTAGAACTTCTCCACTGAAACCAAAAGCCTCTCTGTCCTCTACTCTCTCTGTTTTCGGCCAATAGCAAGCACAGGTCCGGGTTTTCTTTTGTAAACAAGTGCAGGTTTGTTTTATTCCCTGCAGTCACTCCATCATCAATTCTTCGGCCACAGCAACAGGTGCAGTTCGGTTTCTTACAAAAATCAGGTAAAGAAGCTTTGCTTTCTGGTTTGCATAAAAGCTTACAACTTTGATACTTGGGCCGATCCTATTTCAAAGCCAACAAGTGGTATCAAAGCCGTGTATGCCTAAGTACCAACCAAGATCTGAAGAGATGACGAATTTGGAGAAGATGACGACCAAGGTGGGTTCGCTCACTCTTCAATACCCGACGTTATCGAGGGATAACTATGCTTCGTGGGCAATCAAGATGAAAGTCTACATGAAGGCTCAAGACGTGTGGGACGCCATTGAGCCCGCGNGCACCATTTGATGGAAGTCGGCATTCCCTAAATGGTGATCTCCAGGAAGAAGTTATGTGGCTCAACCTGAAGGTTCGTTGTGAAGATCAAGAGCCAAAGGTCTACAAGCTTTCAAAGGCGCACTCTCACGGTCTACGCCAAGCACCTCGGGCAGGAACACGCGCCTCGACAAGTGCATGAAGGGCATCGGATTTGCAAGATGCACTCAGGAGCAGGCGCGTAACACAAGGAGTAACAGAGGGATACACTCATTGTTGGCGTGTACGTAGATGATTGATCGTTACGGCTCGAGGGCGATGAGATAAAGCTTTTCAAGCAACAAATGATGAAGGAGTTCGAGATGATGACCTTGTGTACTTTCTTATTATCTTGCACGAGGTGTATCAGCGAGATGATTGTATTGCACTAAGGCAGGCGGCCTATGCGAAGAAGGTTTTGGGTCAGTTCGGCATGATGGCATTGCAACCCGACGCAATATCCTTATGGAAACAAAGCTAAAGCTTGGAAAGGATCCGAAGACACACCCTGTGGACGTGACGGAGTATAGACGCATTATCGGATCTTTGAGGTATCTAACTCACACCGCGACCCGATATCACATATGCCGTGGGATTGTGAATAGGTACATGGAGCACCCCTACAGTTTTGCATAGACAAATTGTCAAGCATATTTTGAGTACGTGAAGGGTCCTATGTCCTACGGATTGGTGTACAAACCGGTCGAGGCAATGAAGAGTTGTGGATTCACTGACAGTGATCTTGGACGGGAGACGGTTGATGACAGGCGCAGCACAGGTGGCATGGCATTTTATCTAGGTGACAGTTTGGTCACTGGACATCACAGAAGCCAGAAGACGGTGGCATTACATCCTGCGAGCAGAATTTATGGCGGGCAACTGCAGCAGCGTGGCCAAGGTTGAGGAGTTCTAATCAAGCGAGGTGATTGGGAGTGAGCCCAAGCCGGCTTTACACTCTCGTTGACAACAAATCCCGCGATTGCCTTGATGAAGAATCCAGTTTTCCATGGAAGAAGCAAGCATATCGAATCGACGTTTTCACTTCATCGTGAGTGTGTTGGAGCAGACAGATTAAAGTGGAGTTCGTGAGCACAAGCCGAGCAGCGAAGCGGATATTCTCACGAAGGCACAGCAAGGTGAAGCTCACGAGATGCGGGAGCTTCTAGGAGGGGAAGGACTTGGAATCTCGTCCAGATTAAGGGGAGAATCTGAGTTGTAATCAGTCCAAGCGATTGTTAGTTAGTAGAATTCTAATTAGAGTAGAATACTAGTTAGTAGATAGTTTTTTCTAGTTATTGGATAAGATTAGGATTGTAATCTAATCCTATATATAGTAAATCATATTTGAGAGTTAATAAAAAAAAATTAGAACTTCTCCACTGAACCAAAGCCTCTCTGTCCTCTACTCTCTCTGTTTCCGGCCATAGCAAGCACAGGTCCGGGGTTTTCTTTTGTAAACAAGTGCAGGTTTGTTATTTCTGCAGTCACTCCATCATCATATTCTTCGGCCACAGCAACAGGTGCAGTTCGGTTTCTTACACAAAATCAGGCGTAAAGAAGCTTTGGCTTTCTGGTTTGCATAAAAGCTTACAACTTTGATACTTGGCCATCCTATTTCAAAGCCCAACACCGCTGCCTTGGCCCGCCGCCCGAGCAGTCCCCCCCCCACCCCCCACCCTGCATTCGCCTTTCCCTCTTCCTCTCCGTTCCTTCTCAAACTTACTTCCCCTCTTATTTCTTCTTTGTCTCATAACTATGGCTGAATCACTGAAAGGCGCTCATTTTTCTCTTTAATGGGTCATCTCTTAGAGTCATGTCAAAGATAACACTTAGCAATTCAACTTAACACATAATATTTAAACTTAACATGTAATAACTAAGTGTTAAATTTAAAATATAGGTGTTAAGTACAACTGGTAGGTGTTTTGTTTACATGTTAAGCAAAAGGGGACAATCTCTGAGTGATACACGATGGTTATGAAAGAAGAATGATATATGATAGAGGAAAGAGAAAAAATGGTGGATGACGGTCCGTGATGGTAAAAAAATGATTGATAAATGATGAAAAGAAATAGATAAATGATGCAATGAGAAAAGTAATGGCAAAAGAGATAATGGTTAAGGAAGAGGAGAATGAGGAAAAATAATTCATAAGTTCATGGGAAATAAAAAGAAAGATAAGAGGTTAAGAGTAAGTACAGTTTAGAAATACAAAACGATGCGAACAGGAGGGGATATTTCACATGAAAGTGTGGTTTTGGGCTTTCGCACAAGGGCAAAATTTTGAGGGGGGCATGAGTCTTTATATTTTGCGGCCTACACACTATCTTTCCGATTATAAATTAAATAAATTATTCATTTAAAAACACAAATGAATTATAAGTAAATGTGTCAACAAGATCAATCTTGTCCCCTTGTGTTCCCATACCCACCACTTCACAAGAGAGGAAACCAGGGGTGCTAAACCGTATCCGTATCTGAGGAAATATTTGTAACCGTATCCGATAGGATACATATATGGTTATTCAAATCTATAACCGATAGGATATGGTTACATATATGGTTTTATAGTGAAATATTCGTATCCGTATCCGAAATATTCGAATACATATTAGTCATACTCTTACGATAGTTTCGAATATTAGATTATGGATTTGTGGTTAATTTTAATGATCAAGATGTCTAATCTTAACTTTCCAGTTATAATGAACATAGTAACAAATCCTTTTGTATCGTATGAACTATGTTTTTCTCAATACTATCTAGTTTTCTTATATCTATTTTGTATTCACATGTATATACGCTTATATATCCGCATGTGTATCTTTAATCGTATCCGATTTTAACGGATATTATTATGAATTTTTTTATGAATCCGTATCCGAGATGAATATACAGATATGTATATAATAAGCATCATATCTCAGCCTTATCCCGACCGGATGCTCCGGCAAAATAGTAAAGTAAAAAGTTAAAAGAGAAACGAAAAAGAAGGATAAAAAAATTAAAATTAAAATTAAAAATTAAAAAAAAAATCCCTCCAAAACCCTGAGACCTAGATCTCAACTCTCTCTCTCTGAGTCTCACTCCCCCAACTCCAATGGCTTCCTCTCTTCGAAGCGCGACCTCCACTCGTCTAATCTCTCCTTGTTCCCATCGTCCCCCAAATTGTCGAAGGAAAGGCCGAGCTTCATCATTTCGCTGCTCGAGTTCATCTTTCATTCCAACGAATTCAGCGAGGATCAAGGTGGTTGGAGTTGGCGGAGGCGGGAACAATGCAATCAATCGCATGATTGGTAGCGGACTTCAGGTTAATTCTTGATTCCGAAATTTGCACTTTTAACCATGTAATTTGTGATTCTTTTTTTCCCATACGATTGGGGTTTCAAATTGAAATCAGCCAAAAATTTATTTCCTAATTGGTGTTTTTGATTCATTTTTTCTTCATTTAGTATTTTGAATATGATGTTGACTTGCGATTAGGGGTGCATTTGGTTTGGATACAGCTTGGAGATATGGTACCTACCGATCCATTTCTGCTTACCCGTCTCGAATATGGATATGGATATGGATATACCTTGGTAAGGAAAATTCATATCCATATACCCTAAAATCGGATACGGGCACAATTACACATGCAAATCTATAAGCGGATATGCTTGTAGATATAAAACAAATATGAGAAAACTAGATAGTTTTAGTACAAAAGAATTCTTTAATATGTTCATTATATCTAAAAAGCTAAGATTAGACATCTTGATGATCAAAATTAACCTCAAATCCATAATCTACGCATTAAAACAATCGTAATAGTATGACTAATATGTCTTTGGAGATTTCGGATACAGACCCAGATATTCAACTATAAAACCATATTCGTGACCATATCCTATCAGGTATAAATTTGAGTAATCATATTTGTATCCTAGCGGATACGGTTATAAATATTTCCTTGAATACGGATATGGTTTAGCTCCCCTACTTGCGATACACTTTAGTATGCATGAGAGCTATCCTTTACTCATTTCTTTCACTGAATTGTTCAATACTGTAGAATTATGTTAGTATGCATTCCTTGCATTAGTGTGCAATGTAAAAACAGCCATATTATGGTTACCTTCTACTCTAATTCATAAGATAAATGTATAAACTCAGTAGTAACTTAACATATAGGCATTAATTATGTACCACATTAGTTATGTACTAATAAGTAGCATATCATTTCTTTGCGGAGTGTAATTTGAGTGACCATCTGAATCATGCCTATCTATTCATCATTTTTTATAAATCGTTTGTGTTGTCTTCTCTGAAAGATGGGTAAGCTTATATTATGTATCACAACAATTCAGTTCCATCCATATAGCCTCAGAATGAGAAGAATGACAGATTCTATCAACTGAACATGGACTCTTGTTGCTGCAAATTAATGTCGATAATATCGATAATATATCATGTAGCACTTCACTAACTCCTCTTTCATTTTATTGTGTTGTTTTTATTTACAAGATTTGTGTTTTTTTAATTTATAAGATTTGTGTTTGTTTTGGTGGTGGAACTTTCTATGGGTATCTAATCCTTTCTTTTTGTTAATTTGTTTAGTTGCCAATGGATGTTCTTTAAAATTAAATCAAATTTATTTCATGACTTCCTGTCATATTTACATATTTAATATTTTCTCAATGACTTAATTACAGGGGTTTCAGATTTTATGATTATGTATCGGTTGCCAATAGTTGACAAAATGGTCCAAGCTCATGGTTATGAAATTTCTGAAGTTTGTTTGTTTATTCTTTACATATCGCTTTTGGTAAGCGGACTTGTTACCTACAAGATTTCATTCCACCACAGTATCTTTTAATACTTTATTAGTTTACTGAGCTTGATAGTTTTCAGTCTCTTTCCCGTCTCTACTTAAGACTTGAAGGCGGTGAACTTAATAGTTTTCTCATCCCTTCACTTTCTTTCCATCGTAATTTTTTTCTATGTGGCAGATGTTATCTTTTCAAGCATCAAGTTAAACTTGAATTTTTTGCAAATATAGAATCAACAATTGCTACATTAAATGAGTAAAACTTGATGACTTCTTCTTCAGTTCCAAGCAAAGTAAAGTTAATGCTAATGTTGTGCAATTTCAGGGTGTCGACTTTTATGCAATTAATACGGATGCCCAGTCTCTAGTGAATTCAGCATCAAAAAATCCACTGCAAATCGGGGAGCTTTTGACTCGTGGACTGGGTGGGTCTCTCTACCTTATCTTCAACAGTTCAACCTTGTATTCATCTAGTGTAATTCAGTTTGTCTTCAAGGATTACATGAGAACTTGTTTTTCAGGGTTAAACTATTTAAAGTTTTTTGCCTAATTTCGATGATCCGCTCTTTTAAAGTGTATAAAGCGTTTTATAAACAAATATCCATAATTCATACTCAAAAGACTTAGCTACTAATTTCTGGTTTTTAACTTTATATCTCTAGGAGCGGTGGGTACATATGATTACCCGCTCATAATTACTGTCATGTAATCCTATAATGTCCAAATCTGTTGGCTTATAGGAGGCCAAGTTCCTGCAACATGTTTGAGTCTTGACTGAAGAATTAATACTCGCCTTGTTTCGTCATTGAGTCATATCGATGCTTCTATCTCCTCTAGAGCTTGATGAAAGGTGTATAGATACTCTTTTCAGCAGCCAGGTGTCAGCTATGGAGAAGCACCATGTCAGTCATTGTAAATCTCTCCCGTGCGCTTAAGAGAATTATTGGTTGGCTGAACACTACCTTGAAACTAACAAATTAGAGCTACAAGTGGTCGAAGCTTAATGCAATTTTTTTTTGTTTCCGGTCGTAGTCTGCCTTAATAGGATTTTCTACATAAATGCAGGTACTGGAGGCAATCCTCTTCTAGGGGAGCAAGCTGCTGAGGAATCTAGAGTTTCCATATCCAACGCTCTAAAAGACTCCGATCTTGTTTTTATTACGGCTGGTATGGGTGGAGGTACGGGATCTGGTGCTGCACCAGTTGTTGCTCAAATATCGAAGGAAGCAGGTTATTTAACTGTTGGTGTTGTTACTTATCCCTTCAGTTTTGAAGGCCGTAAACGTTCTTTACAGGCAGGTGTCACTTCGTTCTTTCATTATTTTTATTTGTTCTTCATTTGGGAGCAAACTACAAATTATCATTATAATTGAATTATTTCCTTACATGGGCAAATGGGGAGTCCTTCCCCTTAACTTGCCAATTCTACTTAGGGATTTGCATCAATTTATTTTTTTCCCTTAAATTTAGTGTGATAAAATTGTATAATGGGGAGTCAGAACTGATCGTAGCCAGTTCTGGAAATGTCAGTTGTAATTCTGTTTGTTATGATATTGCATGCAAATAAAAGAAGCCATGTGTCACCCATAATTGATGCACTGTATTGATTACAAAGGATATGAAAGACAGTATTGGATTACTATGTTTGGATTAGTATTTAAAAATGATATTTTGGTATTCTGCAAATACCAAGGTAGTAATTGTTTGAGCATATTCAACTACTTTTGACGTACTGTCTTTCTCTTTATATTGTTTCGGCAAGTTTGCTCTTCTTGATATGCTTTATGCAGTTTTATCAACATGGGAACAGAAAAATCTGTCCACTACCTTTTCTTTTTCTGGAATTAGGTTATTCATTCTTTATGTGATAATTTGTGAAATCCTTGTAACTGAGTCTATTCATTCTTTATTCATTTGTAATTTCAGGCATTAGAGGCTATAGAGAAATTACAGAAGAGTGTTGACACTCTTATTGTGATTCCCAATGACCGGTTATTGGATATAGTTGATGAGCAAACCCCTCTTCAAGATGCATTTCTTTTTGCTGATGATGTTTTACGCCAAGGAGTACAAGGGATATCTGACATTATAACTGTTAGTATAACAAGCTTAGAATGTGAATTTTCTTCTGCCATTAGTTTGATTGGAATGATTAATTAATTCACAACCATTTGCAATTACAGATTCCTGGACTTGTGAATGTAGATTTTGCCGACGTCAAAGCCATAATGAAGAACTCGGGAACTGCCATGCTCGGTGTTGGTGCTTCCTCTAGTAAGAACCGAGCACAAGAAGCAGCAGAACAAGCAACCTTAGCTCCCCTTATTGGATCATCGATTCAGTCTGCAACTGGAGTTGTGTATAATATTACTGGCGGAAGGGACATCACCTTGCAAGAAGTGAACAAAGTCTCCCAGGTTAGTCTTCTAAAACTGCTCAACCATGAGTTCAGTCTTTGCGTAGAAGACAGGATATAATGATATTAGATGGGGATATTAATTTCGAAAGAGCGAGTGCATAACTATCTTAAATCTCGTGACTGGTTTGATCTAAATTAGAGCTCTGTAAATGTAAATAATGGAGTGCATAAAATTTTTATGATTAAGGCTGCCTCCCCTTGTGTAGAAGGCAGCAAGAAGATGGTAAGAGGTAGGGAGGAGGGGCAAAGGGTATATGAGGTTACTTATTAATTATACATAAAAGAATTGGATGGAATACAATTGAAAGCGTACATATCTAGGATTCTTATGTTTTTTATTTGGGTTCTATTTCTGCGGAGCAAAGGGTTGCAGGAGTAACTGATTCTAAATGTGATGATATCGAGGGCATTTTCTAAATTGAAGATTTGAGGTGTGTATATACGGAGAGAAAAAGAAAGCCCTGTTGCTAAATACTAATGTTCTATTAGATTCCTCCCTACCTAATCCTCATGACATTCTTTTACCGAAAAGGAAAATTCTAATTCCCTTTCATAACTATGAAGGTTGTGATTTTACTGTTATTCTCTTTGAAATTTATGCCTTAGTTCCCATTACAGCTGATCTTTCCATGTATTTTCAGGTGGTTACCAGTCTAGCAGACTCCTCCGCAAACATAATATTTGGAGCAGTTGTTGATGATCGCTACACCGGTGAGATCCAGGTCACAATAATAGCCACAGGTTTTTCACAGTCATTTCAGAAATCACTTCTTACAGACCCAAGGTCAGCAAAGATAGCAGAAGCTCAAGCTCAGGAAATGAAAGCTTCCTCAATGCCTCTCAACTCTAGCAACTCCTCTCCAGTGCCTTCTCATACTCGAAAGCTCTTCTTCTGATCCAACCTCGATATATTTATGCTGACCTTTCTCGGGTTTTGAAATTGGATCCCTAATGCAATGTCTATATACAGTTTCTCACTTGGTTATGTTCTCTTTGCATAATTTCTACAGAGTTTGTTGCACCTTTCCTCAAATGTAAAGGAATTATTTCAGCTACGACCCGAGCTGCAGTTGTTACATACACTCCATCAATTCTTTGTTACCTCATTTGGTTCTTCTGACACATTCAAGCGTATCAAGGCTGTAAATTTCGATGTTAGATTCAGCATATGCTTTCATCTGCTGAATCGGAAAAAGTAAGTCAGAATCAAGCTGGTTGAGTACCATGTTGGAATTAAGTTACTGATTAAATTCCCTCAAGAAACAGAAAACTTCTCTCAAGAAGGACTACATAGTTTAGTGTTTCCAGAGGGAATGTAATGTATTCAGCATTGTAGAACAGGAAACCATGATTTGATGTAAGAATTAGCTCTGATTTGTAGACAGAAAGTAATTGCAAACTTATGATGAGGTCTGGTTATGAACCTATCTTGGAAAGAACCAGGAGCTGACTGAGCAATTGCACTTGCATCTCAACTAGTATGACCATGTTCTATCATAATTCACAAAAATTGAGATTTATGACGGGTTCCAAATGTCTTCATGCATTTCATAATACCTTTACAGGGAACAAGGGATATTATTTTAACGATACATGCGGTGCAAAAATGTTGTACATAGTATCTCGCACGTTTGTTGTGCATGTGAGTTTCACGTGCATATGCATAGTGGGAGAGGATTGCTTCTCTCAAGTGTATATAGAAACAAAAAGACTAGTTGAGCATTGAAGGATGTAGCTTGCTTTAGGGCAATTGATAGAAGAAAGAGAGAGAGAGAGAAAAGAGGAGAGGAACTTAAGCTAAATGGGGTTAAGTGACATTTTAAATTTTTAAATTTTAGGCGAGATATCATCTCAAAATCAGCCAAACTTAGGGGGGTCTTGTTGTAGAAGGGCGAACCTGTGTTCAAACCTCGCCTTCGATGGCAAAGTTGAGGAGGCGAGGAAGGTCGTGCGGGCGATGTTTGTGCAGACGGATCTTGGGAGGCGAGGTCTCGAGCTCGCCTGTAGTCGACGTTTGATCTCGCCTGTTGAATCTCGCCTGCAGGCGAGATGGTTCGAGCTCGCTTGGATTTGATAGGAGCCAGCTGGACACAGCTGGAGAGATTGCCCTAGGGTTTCCCTATAAAAGGGAAACCCTGTTCTCGTGAGCAAGTGAGCGGCGTTGAGAAACCCCAGAGCGGCGGCAGAGCAATTTGGAAAAGAGAGAACGAAGCTCTTTGTGATTTTGTGCTCTGGTTTGGGGAGCCCTCCGATTTTGTTCTCATTTGTCACTGTTCTCATTTATTATTGAGAAGTGGTTGGTGAATATTAATTGGGGATTTATTGTAAGAGAGAGAGAGAGAGAGAGAGAGAGAGAGAGAGAGAGAGAGAGAGTTTGAGCATTGATTTTATATTAAAATCAATTGCTATTTGTTTGAGAGATCTCTAGTTTGAGATCCTCTCTCTTATTTGTAATTTCTTATTATTAATAAAAAATTAGTGTGTTGCTCCCGTGGACGTAGGCAAGATTTGCCGATCCACGTAAAATCTGGTGTCTTGCGTTTGTGTTACTTGTTTCTGTTTGTTGATAAGTATTCCAATCTCGTTGGTATTTGTGTGTCGTCGCTTTCGCCGGACACAACAAGTGGTATCAGAGCTCCGGGTTTGACTTGGGGTTCATTTTTGGAGAATAAAGCTAGAGCTTGGATTCTCATTTGACGAGATTGGATTATCAACATGGGTGATACTAGCAGGCCTAGTTCAAGTGCTACAAGTACATCGGGGTCGGCTTTGACAAAGGCGATCCAAATTTTGAGCATCAGTAATACTAAGATTGATGTTCCAAAGTTCGACGACAAGATTAATTTCTGTTTGTGGAGGTGTCAAGTAATGGACGCCTTGGATGCACAAAATTTGGAGGAGACTCTTGAGCTACAAGAGAAACCCGAAGATGTTGAAGACAATGTTTGGAAGAAAATGAATAGTAGAGTGTGTGGGGTTATTCGATCATGTTTGACACCGGACTTGATTTATGATGTGATGAACAAGACTTCGGCGAAACGGTTGTGGGAAACACTCAATGAGAAATATCTTACAAAGAGCATTGAGAATCGGCTTCACTTGAAGAAGAGATTTTACCAATTCAAGATGAAGAGGGGAGTTTCCATCAGGGAACATGTCAATAACTTCACAAAATTACTATCGGATATGGCCAATGTGGATATCATGGTAGAGGATGAAGATAAGGCGATGTTGTTGCTATGTTCATTGCCAGATGATGATTTCGGTACATTTGTCCTTACGATGATAAATGGTAGAAACACTGTCAGCTATAAGGAGGTGACCTCAGCATTGATAAATTATGAGTTGAGAAAGAGTGATAGTGAACCCTCCGAGAAGGCATCGGGAGATGCATTGGTAGTGAGAGGCCGTAGTCAAACCGCCGTCCATTTAATTGCTCCAAGTCGAAGAATAGAGGTGGCTATAAGAGTGTTGGTAGGAATCAATGTCGCTTCTGTAAAGAAGAGGGACATTGGAAGATCGACTGCCCAAAGTTGAAGGACAAAACCGGGAAGAATAAGGGAAAAGCCGTACAGGCTTCAGAGGTAAATGTTGCTAATGCTAGTGGCAACAATTCAGATTCAGATTCTTCGGGCTACTCATGCCCAGCATTACCGTCAGTTTGTTATGCCGACTCTATGGAGTGGATGTTGGATTTAGGTGCTACATACCATATTTGCCCAAGTAGGGATTGGTTCTCCAGCTTTGAGAAGTTGTAAAGAGGGGATGTCGTGCTCATGGGTAATGATCATGTATGCCCTATCGGTGGTATTGGTATAGTCCGAATCAGGATGTGTGACGGGGAGACTAGGGAGCTGAAGGAAGTGAGATTCGTTCCTCAATTGACGAAGAATATCATTTTACTTGGAACTTTAGAGGCAGCTGGCTATCTGGTGATCTTAGAGAATGCAACTCTGAAGGTCATGAAGGGGTCCATGGTGGTGATGCGAGGTGTTAGGGAAAATAACCTTTACTACTTGAAGGGTAAGACAGTAACTGGGGGTCTGATAGCTTCGATTACCACAGAGGAGAATATTACCAGCTTATGGCGCATGAGATTGGGACACACTGGTGATAAGTCCCTGCAAGTATTAGCGAAACATAGACTATTGAAGGGTGCAAAGACCTGCAGGATGGAGTTGTGTGAACATTGCATACTTGGGAAAAAGACAAAAGTAAAATTCGGCACCGCAATTCACAACACCCAAGGTATATTGGATTATGTTCATACTGACGTTTGAGGTCCTTCCAAGAACACATCTCTTGGTGGGGCTAATTATTTTGTTACTTTCATTGATGATTATTTCAGGAGGAATTGGGTATACCCCATGAAGCATAAACATGAGGTCCTGGATATATTTGTGGAGTGGAAGAAGAAAGTGGAGCTGCAGACAGGTAGAAAGATGGAGGTACTCCGTTCGGATAATGGTGGTGAGTTCAAGAGTGATCCGTTTCTACAGTTTTGCCGGGATCACGACATTAGACGACACTTCACAGTTCGTGAGACACCGCAACAAAATGGGATAGCTGAAAGGTTGAACCGTACCTTGCTGGAGAAGGTGCGATGTATGATGATACAGAGTGGATTGTCAAGATCCTTTTGGGCCGAGGCATTGGTTTATGCAAGCCATCTCGTGAATAGGTTGCCGTGCACTGCGATACATGGAAAGACTCCTATAGAAAAATGGTCTGGTTCAGTGGCTAGTGATTATGAGTCGCTTCGAATATTTAGGTGTCCTGCTTATTACCATGTTAGTGATGGTAAATTAAATCCGAGGGCGAAAAAAGCAGTCTTTGTGGGATTTAGAGATGGAGTTAAATGCTTCAAGTTGTGGGATCCATAAGACAAGAAGATGATCATTAGCAGAAATATCACGTTTGATGAGGCTCACATGATGAGGTCTCAGATTCCTCAGCAGGTGGAGGAAGGCCAGACTAGTGGGGTATCGTAGCAGGTGGAGGAAGATGTGACTCCACAGACTTCAGATAGCACTGTATCTATTAAGACTCCTACAGAGGTGACACTGGGAGGAGATGCTATGACAGATGGGCAGGTGGAGGATACAGTGGATGTTGGGACTCAGGAACAGGGTCATGTTCAGGAGTCCATTGCAGCTAATAGACCAAGAAGAAATATTCGTTGGCCAGCTAGATATGATGATGCCATGGTTGTATATGCTTTATCAGCAGAAGTCGTTGATGATTTGGTTCCTTCTACATTCAAGGAAGCAGAGTTAAGCTCTGATTCAATTAGGTGGAGGGAAGCTATGGAGGAAGAGATGCAGTCTCTTCATAAGAACGACACTTGGGAACTTGCAAAGCTACCGAAGGGTAAGAAGGCTATTGGATGAAAGTGGGTATATGCAAAGAAAGAGGGATCTTCTATTGGGGACATTCGGTACAAAGCCAGATTGGTTGCCAAGGGTTATGCACAGCTTGAGGGCGTTGATTACAACGAGGTATTCTCACCTGTTGTAAAGCATTCGTCGATTAGGATTCTGTTGGCGTTAGTGACACAGCTGGATTTGGATTTGGTTCAGATGGATGTGAAAACAGCCTTTCTATATGGAGACTTAGAAGAGGAGATCTACATGACACAACCTATGAGGTTCAAAGCAGCAGGAAAGGAAGAATTTGTATGCAAGCTGAAGAAGTCTCTTTACGGATTGAAGCAATCGTCGCGATAATGGTACAAGAGATTCGACGGCTTCATGATTGGCCGAGGGTACACGAGGAGCCCATATGACCCGTGTGTTTACATGCACAAGCTACAGAATGGTGAGTATATTTATTTGCTGTTATATGTTGACGATATGCTCATAGCTTCCAGGAATACTTCAGCTATTAGAAAGTTGAAAAGGAGCTGTCATCCGAATTTGAGATGAAGGATCTTGGAGAAGCAAAGAAGATATTAGGTATGGAGATTGAGAGAGACAGGGTGAAGGGGAGGTTGAAGTTGACACAGAAGAGTTACTTACAGAAGATGCTGAAGAAATTCAGTTATGATGGCAATGCCAAGGCTGTGAGTACTTCATTAGCTCCCCACTTTAAGCTATCAGCTAAGATGTCACATGTTTTAGTTGAGGACCGTGAATACATGTCCAAAGTTTCATATGCCAATGCGGTGGGTAGCTTGATGTATACGATGGTGTGTACAAGGCTAGATTTGTCACAGGCCGTGAGCATGGTATCTAGGTGTAGGCATATAAAATTGCTTATAGGTCCCTTAGCTCAGCTCGGCACAAACCGACAAACCAACGAGGCGACGAGATTGACTAATCGCACGCAAGCAACGGAATACGTCCATTCGCGTGCGGGATCAAGCCAAGTGTTCGAAGAGTCAACGAGTCATCCAACCAAGAGCATACTCGGACGAACCACGATCG